TCTCTCTCCATCTCAGAGATGAATCCAATAAATCAGAGATAAGTAAAATTGTTTCAGCCATTCTTGAGTTATAAATGGTGTACTAACTGACTTTGTTTTATTTATTTAGAATATATCATGTTATAAAATTAGGAAAAAATTGATTTAGCCAACCTTCCTTTTCATTTCGTTCAATCACTTACCTCGTGTAACAGATGTATGGTCACCTGATTGATGTCATAAACTAAACTGTAAATGGCTATGTTACCAATGGAGACTGAAAATATTGTAGTCTGAAATCTGCTCTTCAAAATTAGATATTTAAGTAATGTCATGCACATTTGTTTAAAAGTATAAATAGTTTTCACGTAAGTTTAAGTGAAATTGTTAGAATTAAAAAAAATAGTATTCAAGATAGAATTAAAAACAGTTCTAAATGCATTCTTTAAAGTTTTTTCTAAAATATAATATTCTTAATAATGCAATTTGGATTGTATTTTCTTTACAACCTCTGGAATATTTGAAAATGGCAAATACCCTTTTTTGTATGTGATATAATCCCTTTAATATTGAAACTACCAAGTTCTTGTATAATCAAATTTTCTCTGGAATTTTAGATCATTGAATCATTTCATGTCATTGTTGAGTTAACTAATAATTATTTTGTTTCATTTGTAAATGCAATTTTGTATGAAATTATGGAATCTTTATATTCGTATTTAGTGTATCATCTACTGCTCTGAAGTGCTTATCTGCAGGGTGAGGTTTGATCTGTGCCCAGGGAAAATATTTAACCTTCAATAGAGAAAAGTGAGTTTTTAAATATGGTAAAAGACTTGATTTTCATCAAAACTCAAAAAACTCTTGAACTTGAAAATTATTGTGTACTTCAATATCAAAAATCTTCAAAATTGTGAATTTCAATCTTGTACACTTTTATTTTTTGCCAAAGAGTGTTTCATCAGATCACTGAAGAATTAATAGGATTAAATTTGCAATCTTATAATATTTTTATCCATTACAAATAATGTAAGTATTTAACTTAGAGACAGTAAGTATTAAACTTTCTGTTGTAGTGCCACTAGTTTCTTTTGATTTTTTCCCTTTCTCCTAAACAACAGATAATATTCGCTTGATAAGGTGATAATGTTTGACTCTCTCTGAATGGCTAGTTACTATGGTTACTAAGTTTGATTAGAATGTCTGTACATTTGTAAAAAAATGACATGACACCTCTATAGTTGTTGTCTCCCTCAACCTGTTCCATTGTATGCTAGGGAGGTTAAAGATTATGATTTGACCCTCCCCAGCTGATCTCATCTATACTCCGAAACAACTCCACATCAGATTGCTGTGACCTTAGCCTGGGATTGGAAGTTTGTAGATTCCTCCAAAGACAAAGGAAACTCTCGTAAGAGGCACTTTGAGGCACATTGCTTCCATTTCTGTATTATCACAATTATCCAGAGTTTCAACCCTCAGAAGCAGTGATCCCATTGTTTACCAGTTTGTTGTATTTGGAAATAATAATCCCCTCACCCTGAAATGTTTTGGGCATACTTTAAAATGTGGTACAAGAATAAAGGTGTCAGAAATTTTATCATTTAATCATGTCTCAATGATGTTAATGAAGTCAGGACAAATGTTTTGGATCTCTTTCAATTGTTGATGAAACTTGGCCAATAATTATTAGATGGTGTACAAAAATGGTGGGTTTCCCTCCAGGTGAACTACTACTGCTGCTGTCCTTGATAGTTTCCCTTTCCTCCATTAATTTTTGGGATTCCTCACTAATCCAGATCTCAGGTTTGGGGTTTTCTTCTGCCTCTCCGTCCACTTTGTGTAATTCAATAAGCTTGAAATGATTAAAAACCTAACATCTTTTACAATTTTGGTGGTACAATTACGAAGTCTTTCCTGCATATTTATGGCTGAGAAAGTGGGTTTTTGTGTCACCAAATTAAAAAAACAACAAATTAATTATCTTAAACTCTCAAACAGTTTCCAGATGGAAGATATGCTGGGTTTCCTTGCGCAATTCACATAACAAATTCCAAATTTCTAGCATCTGCAAAAATTTTGATTGGCACATTGCAGAAGCTGCTGAGACACACATAAACATGAGAAATGGTGTTCATGTTGTGTTATTTGTAGAGTCAGTTGATGGAAAATAATGTCAAACCACCTCATTCCTCCGAATTGCCTAGTATGACTCATTAGATCTACTCCTTGGGATATATTTAGAACCAACCGGCCTTTGGGGTGATAACTAAACAGACACTTTCAGTTATCGCTGTCATCATCAAGAACTTTTGAGGTTTAGGCCTGTTTCTTCTTTCCAGTATTTCCACAATCATTATTGAGATGTTCTTGGTCTGTCCACATCTTGTTCAGCGCCCCTGGTTCTCTTCTTCCCCATGGCTTCAATCTCGTTACCATTTTTGGGTATCTGTTTAGTTTCATTCTTTTTGTGAGTTTAACACATTTTATTTGGTGCTTCTCTATTTCCTGAACAATGTTGTTTTTTTGTTATGTGGTCATTTCTTATCCTATCTTTCCTTGAGATCTTTATTCCTGCTACTAAGTATTTCATTTTGCTGCTTCAATCCTTTGTTTGTCTCTTTGTCATTATACCCAAGTTTAACTACCATATAATGGGATTGGTTTGGATATAATGTTATGCAGTATAATTTTTGTTTCTTTATTCATGTTTTGAAATTATCTTTTTTATGCATCCATTAATTGTGTAGTATTTTGCCCATTTTGTTTCTATATCTTCCTCTTGTAACAAAATTTTGTTTCCCAGGTATGTGAAAGTTGCTACTTATTGTATTATTAGAATGCCTATTGCTATTCTTATTCAGCTATGTTCTTTACCTATTATTCCCATTGCTTTAGTTTTTGGAGTTGATATTCTCATTTTGTATTCTTTTATGATCTTGTTTAATTCATGTGCTGCTTTTTGTAAGTCATCCTTTGATTTTTCCACTATTTCCTGGTGATCTAAATTTGTTATGGTTTTTATTTTTTTGTCATGTGTCTAAATGATGCCTCCTTTGACTTCCTCGCGTCCATATTTTGATTATGATTCATATATAGGTAACAATGTGGCTATAAATGTAGCCCTGTTTAGTACCACTTGTTAAGCATTCAAGTGATGATGATTGATGATGATGATAATAATAATAATAAAAATAATAATTAATAATAATAATAATAATAATAAAATAATAATAATAAATAATCATCATCACATCATCATCATCATCGTATTGATGTTCTATCAACACAACAATACGTTTAACCAAAAAACCCTTAATTGAATTGGTAGGACATGATGAGCTGTACCCTAGATGGGGGTTAAGACACACGCCATTACGGGGGACGTTCCCCCTGGCGACCTGGAGGCTATACAAAAAGGTGTACGGAAACAGACAGGTAGCCACTGCCACTGCTCCCGTCGGCGCCAGGCAGAAATTCTACTAAAGCAGAGAATTTTGAGATTGGGCTGGCTTACTTGCCACGTTTAGGATGAAGCACCAGGTCAGGCAAGATGCTTTAAGCTGTTTGGCTTTGACCATATTCTCCACCTCTTGAAAGGCCCCGACAAAAGTGAAGTATGGCTACAAGTTGGCAAAAAGGGACAATTTGCGCAAGGACTGCAGAGAAGCCAGTCATGTATTGTCTGCAAAGACCAAAACTAGAGACAATCATAAGCTGGGTAGCCTATAAATTGCCCTTCCCTCATCCAGAACGGTAAGGAAACTCGGTTAAAACAAGATATGCCCAGGTTCCTTCAAATTAATTTAGGCAAAGAAAAGAATCCCCCAGATCTTCTCATTCAAACGGCAAGGGTAAAGACAGTGGCGGATGTGCTGTACTGTGTCAGTGAGCTGCACGATATTGACGACATATCCCTCTACCAGGACACTGGGCAGGAATTATAATTTTTCAACTCCAAAATAGAGTGTCTCTAAATTTAAAAGTTACAAACCAAGGTTTTGTATGGGTAGAATGAACAGCCTTAGAATATATAGTTGCTATTTCTCCTCAAACGGACCAAATAGAAGAAATTTAAGAAGCAAATCGCATGAAAACTGGAGGCAAGCAATGAACCTCAGCCCCAGGTGAAATAATATTGACCTGGACACTTTAACAGCAGTCCCCGGAAGGCGACGAAACAGAATAATCGCCCAGAAACGATATTGTTTGCGATCTCTCTCTGTT